CACACACGCACACACACACACACACACACACACACACACACACACACCCACACACAATTAACAGATAAACACACCCTATTAAAGAGGATGAACTGCATTCAAGCATAGCAGCAAATTCTTGTGTGTAAATCAGCTTTTATCAGTTCAAGGTTAAGTCTCTATTGAGTGTTAGGGATTAACAAATAGAGATACTTAAGTGATTTGTAGGCTCCTACACCCCCTACACCCCTGCCACAAGGATATAAAGTCTAAAGGCCAAAATTCAAAGTGTGAAATATGCATATTTTAGACCAAATGTTACAATTTGAGGAATGCTGGTGTTTCTATTAGGGTAAAGTCAGCATTCCTCTTATTGTAACATTTTTTCCCATGTTTTCAGCCAGTAGAGGCTTCTGAGGAACTCAACAAGTGATACTATCTTATTGGCTTAAAATCCTAAAGTTATATTTTTATTATGGTATAGACAGGTTTACAAAATATTTTATTGTTGTTTAAAAGAAATAATACTTTATTCAGCAAGAATTTATAAAAATTCATCCTTAAAAAATGTATCATTGTCATCACAAAAATATTAAGCAGCACACGTTTTCAATACTACTAATAATAAGAAATGTTTCTTAAGCACCAAATCAGCATATTAGAAAGATTTCTGAAGACACTGATTGTAAGACACTAAAGACTGAAAATTCAACTGCCATCACAGGAATAAAATCGATTAAAATTGAAGCAATTACTTTACAATGTAATAATATTGTAATAAAAATAAATAAATGAAAGAGTAATAATAAAACATTTAAAAAATGACTTACCCCAAATGTTTGAATAGTAGTGTATATAAATGATATTAATAATGATTTTTTATTTTTTTTTCAGGAAAAACAAAGGAGTACTTTCTTTTCCATATTTTATCTGTTCATAAACGCTGGCAGTCTTCTCTCCACTCTCATCACACCCATCCTGAGAGGTGTGTATTTACAGTAATTACAATCTGAATAGCATCTTTGGTAATGCTTTGTTTTAAGTTGTCCTTGTTACACATGTTACATGTACTTACTATTGTAATAACAATAAATTATGCATAATTAGGCTACATGCAAGTACCCCTAAGCCAAACCCTAATCCTAACCCTAACCAAATAGTAAATACATGTAGTTAATTAATATTACTCAGTACTTAAATGTATAATTACACCGTAACAAGGACACCTTAAAATAAAGTGTAACCACATCTTTTACTTAATACATGGTAGATTGGTAAATATGCTTATGAACAATACGTCTTGTCTTTGTGTGTATTTGTTAGCTCAAGAGTGTGGTATCTACTCAAAGCAAAGTTGTTTCCCGCTGGCTTTTGGGGTCCCTGCAGCTCTCATGGTGGTTGCCCTCAGTAAGTTACAGCAGTTTCGGTCTACTGGTATTTATTTTGACGTGCAATACCTTTTATGACCACTCGATGGGAGCCGTGATCGACTGAGGTTCTTCTTCTCTCTGCAGTTGTGTTCATCGCAGGTCACAGCATGTACATTATGGAATCCCCCAAAGGCAACATCCTGCTGCGAGTCATGAAATGCATTGGAGTAAGAGCACCGACAAAAAATGATGCTTTCTTTAAGAAATAGTGTTACGTTTTTGGAAAAAGGGAGAGATAGAATGAGACCCCTCAGTTACAGTTCACTTTTCATTAAAAGACAGTGTCACTTGCATGTTTGATAAACAATCAAAATTTAGTATGCAAATATTATAGACTTCACGGCCAGCAGTGAAGGCCAAACATTAGGCTAACGAGAGATTTTAAAACGTATCCTCCTGAGACCCTGTGACCTCATATGAGGACATTATATTTTGGTGTATTTCTCTGAGACTATACATGCCACCGTTTTAAGTCTGGATGTCCTGTACAGAGCACATTCAGGGCTTTTCAGAGATACTAAATGTTTCGAGTCATGAAATGCATTGGAGTAAGAGCACCGACAAAAAATGATGCTTTCTTTAAGAAATAGTGTTACGTTTTTGGAAAAAGGGAGAGATAGAATGAGACCCCTCAGTTACAGTTCACTTTTCATTAAAAGACAGTGTCACTTGCATGTTTGATAAACAATCAAAATTTAGTATGCAAATATTATAGACTTCACGGCCAGCAGTGAAGGCCAAACATTAGGCTAACGAGAGATTTTAAAACGTATCCTCCTGAGACCCTGTGACCTCATATGAGGACATTATATTTTGGTGTATTTCTCTGAGACTATACATGCCACAGTTTTAAGTCTGGATGTCCTGTACATTCAGGGCATTTCAGAGTTACTAAATGTTTGGATGTTTCACCATGACCAACCCCTCTCCTTGGTCTTCAAAAATTTCTGAAATTAATTTAGTGACACTCTTATGGAAATATGATAATATTTTGCAATTATCATTTAAATCTGACTAATTTTTAAAATGTGTGTCATAAATCAACATCTCAGGAAAATGTTGTGGGGTTTCAAATCAAAATATAACCTTCTGTTACGAAACAGGATGTTGATTTCATACATGTCCTCATATGAGGACACTGGGACTAAAAGCATGTTTATTAGCGTTTTGGGAGACATAACAAATGAATAGTGAAAGAAATTATGTTTCAATATTCTATGAAATATTATATATTATTATGAAAATCTTGTCAAATATTACTCCCATTATTACACTTCTTTTTTCATTACATGTTGCCCCAAAAACACATTAATATGCAAATTAGATTTA